GGAGGCACAGTCAGGTCCTCACGGGAAGATACACACACGTGGGAAAGCATCCTACGTTGGGCCTGAGTTTCACTTTGGGCACTCACACAGGGTTGAGCTTGTAAAGCACCAAAACCATGGAATAGTATGTATGTCTTAGACGCTAAGTGGGAGCTCACTGGAAAGTGAGGCTTCCCTCCCAGCAACAGTCACCCTCATGTGACTCTGCTCTGGGTTCACACTTTTTCACACTCTCATTCCGGTGATCTCCATGTCAGGTTACCACCCTCAACTGACAGAACAGGGAAACTGAGGCACACCAAGCAGTGCCCAGGAAACCCAGAACTGTCTGGCTTCCTGTCTTGATAACAAAATAGTCATCATCCTGGAAGTCATCTGTGTAAATAGGGGTGTGTCCCTTGCCCACTCTGGTCCTCAGTTTTTCTGTCTTTGGAGTGGCTTGGGTAAATTTTCCATCTTTCTTCAACAGTGACCGGAATAGCGCTGGATCACAGCAGGCACTCAGGACCTGCCTAGCTGAGGTTCACTGCTTTTGGGTTTTGTCTGGGTACTAGGCTCCAGGCTCTGGCAGCCCTACCTCCTTCTACATTCCTCGAGGTAGGGGTTTTGATCCTTGGGGTCTCTGGTCACCACAGGCACCTGCTCATTGTCTCACATACCCTTTCCCCCCAGAACTGCCAGCAGAGGAGCCAGCTGTTCCTGAAATAGACCAGAGGAGGAGGGAATGACCACTGGGCTCCTGGATGTGGGGTTCCTGGTGAGTTCCACCACCCTCATGCCTGGGCCTCCCAGACTTGAGAGACACCCCTTCTCCCCCCGCCAAACCAGCTTGGCCTTGTGCTGCTTCACCAGCTGCTCCCACCAGCAGCCAATGCCNGAGAGACACCCCTTCTCCCCCCGCCAAACCAGCTTGGCCTTGTGCTGCTTCACCAGCTGCTCCCACTAGCAGCCAATGCCAGGCTTGCCCTAGCTGAGGAAACTGCTGTGTGATGTTCCAGGAGCAAGTAACCTTTGAGGACGTGGTTGTGGACTTCACCAAGGAGGAGTGGGGACAGCTGACACCTGCCCAGAGGACCCTATACTGTGATGTGATGCTGGAGACCTTGGGGCTCCTGGTCTCTGTGGGTAAGGCCACACCTGTGTTCTTCATGGTCTTCCCAGGGTCTGGACACTAATTCTCCTGGGTTAAAAGTGGGGGTAAGTCTAGGCAATAAAAGCAGATAACTCAGATCCTTTTGTAGTTAATAAGCATAATGATTGGGTGTTCTTGCTATTATGTGATGTGCCTCCCTCAAAACTTGTTTCGACATTAGCATATTATCCACCTGACATGAACTTGGAAAAAAATGTTAAAAAGCAGATAACTTGAATATGTCTTAGTCCGGATGGACCAGACTATTTTGTCTATGGAATGTTATCAGTGAGGATGTTTTACCTACAGGTTACAGATCCCACCTAAAAATGCCAGAGGTAGGACATCACGGGGTAAGAGGACCATACTGGGTCCCAGAACTGCAGAATCCCAGGCTACACCTGGGTCTTCCTGTGTTGGTGTCAGGAGCCTTTTCCTCCCTGTGCAGCTCTTTTTGTCACCATTCACAGAAGGGCCCCCTGAAGGTGGAAAAACAGTTGCCAGGATCCAAGGGTACCCACAGAAGGCCCATGGTGTCTTGTTTCAGCCACCAGATCCACATTGGTCATTGTTGCCATTGGGCAGTGGAAGAACTCTTACTGGGTGGCCAGGATTGCATCACATGTCTACCCTAGAGCCAGGGGTGGGGGTTAGGGACTCAGAGTGAGTGGAGGAACACTGAAGGATGTTATTACCAAAATTACTGTGGCCTCTCTGGGGTCCCCTTCCATGTGAGTCCTGAAAGGCTGAAGGTGGAGTGGGTAGAAGGTTGGGAAGGGCCCTGGGACACAAATGCTCAGGCCCTGGGTTTCCCCCAAGCAGGACATTGGCTCCTGAAACCCACCCTCATTTCCCTGCTGAAGCAGGAGGCAGAGCTGTGGCTAGTGAACAAGGTTCCACAAGGTGTGTGCCCAGGTGAGGAGAGAGTGTGCAGGGCAGGGAGAAGCGCACTCAGCTCCACGTCTCCATGTCTGTTCTGAGATTCTTCAGAGCAAACTGACTATTCATTCTATGAGTGAATGTCACCAAGCACTGTTCTGCTATGAGTGAAACCTAGTTCCTGTGTTCACTGAATTTACATTCTTGGTGAGGGAGAGGAGCACACAATAAATAGCTAAAATAATAATAAAAAAAGTGAACAAGATGATTATCACGAATGCTGAGAAAGTGAAAGCAAGTGACGAAGTAGACTAGAATTTGAGGTGGGACTTGAGCAGAAAGATGAGGGCTTGCCTCTCGAGGGAGGTGACTTGGGAGGTAAAGCCTGAACCATGAGAATAGTGAGCCATGAAACTATCAAGGGAGAATTCCAGGCGGAGGAAATGGTAAGTGCAAAGGCACTGGGGTGGTGTAGGTCCCTTACTGTGTAACAGACACTCCAGCCTCAGTTCTTTAAACCAGAAACTCACTTATGACTCAGGCATCTGTGGGCCAGGCTCTTTCATGTGCCTAGAGGCTGGCTGGGTGGTTTTGCTCTTCATACTTGCTGTCCAGGTCCCCAGAGTAACAGGCACCTCTATAGGAAGTGGGGGCATCCTAGTCCTCTTGCAGGCAATTTCCCACTGGCATTAGGCCCTGACCCCGTGTAAGCAGTGGCCCATCACACAACTTGCAGGGCTTAGCAGGTGGACCTCTTTGGGAGGCACTATTCTGCCAATCTCACTTGAATAGATTGTTTTCTACCTTTAACTTTTGACTAGAGTGTAACATAAATGGGAAAGGTGACTATATCACACCTTTAGACCAGTCCACTGTCAAGGGCGTGGCTGGGTACCTGGGCAGAAAGGCCATCCTGACAGGAAGAAAGGGGAGGGACTGCATGTGTTTTTCATTCAGCATGTCTGTTGACCCCTGTTGTAGGTGGGGTACAGTGGTAAGACATACAAAGGCCCTGACCAAAGAGTCCTCCCAGTTAGGGAGACAGACAGAATAAGCCAGCTGAAAGGGCTCTAATACACCACAGTCACTTATCGATTCTCCTAGTGACAGATATTTCAGCAATTTCCAGTTTGGGGAGCTGATGGGTTTCTTTACATCTGGGGTAAAGTGGTACAACAATGAGGGGCCTCCAAGAAGAGACTAGTTCTGAGAAATGGGAGGGCTGAGTGGTCCTTCCCTTATGGCGCCTTTTCCTCCACCCCCACCTGGCATAGTGGAGGCTCCACTAGCCTGTGCCTGGCCATCACTCTGCTCCTTCCAAGCCTGAACATTATTGACATTTTTCCTGAAGACTAACTCTTTTCTTAGCATCTTCCTTCAAAATCCTCTGTGCCCCCCTTGCCAACTCCATCTGTACCCATTATATCAACTCACCTTTCTGTTCTCTGTACTTTTCCTCCCTCTTTGTTGCAAAACCATATGGTTAAATGGCCACATCCACTCAAATCCTGAAACCTTCAAAACTGTATGTTTAATTCCATACACTTATCCAGGGACATACTTTTCCTCTCAGAACAGCAATTGAGGGGCAATTCAATTTTTTTTCTTTCAGATTTGGAAACTAGATTGAAAACCAATCTGTCACCAGCAAAGCAATACAGCTCTGAAGAACTGTCCAATAATGTCCTGGTAGAAAGGTTCCTGTGGGATGGTCTGTGGGGCTCTAAGGGTGAAGATGCTGAGGGGCATCAGGAAAAGAGTTGTGCGACCCTTGATGTCGGTGTGGTGCAGGCGGGCTTCACACCTGTGAAGACATTTGTTCAGCAGCAACATCCTGGGATTGGGTTTGGGGAAAACTTTAGTCTAAGCCCCAATCTCCCAGCTCAACCCATGACTCCTGAAAGACCAGACTCTTACACGTGGGGAATGCACAGAAAAAGGGAGAATCCAAACTCAAAGTTAAATGCACAACAGAAAACTTATGCAAAAGAGAAACCCTACAGATGTCAGGAGTGTGGAAAGGCCTTTAGTCACAGCTCGGCACTCATCGAACACCACCGAACGCACACTGGAGAAAGACCTTACGAATGTCATGGATGCGGAAAAGGGTTCCGAAACAGCTCGGCACTAACCAAACACCAGAGAATCCACACTGGTGAGAAACCCTATAAGTGCACTCACTGTGGGAAGACATTTAATCAAATTGCCCCACTGATCCAGCACCAGAGAACTCACACCGGTGAGAAGCCCTACGAGTGCAATGAGTGTGGGAAATCCTTTAGTTTTAGGTCCTCCTTCAGCCAACATGAGCGGACTCACACAGGTGAGAAACCTTACGAATGCAGTGAGTGTGGGAAGGCCTTCCGGCAAAGTATCCACCTCACCCAGCACATGCGAATACACACAGGGGAGAAGCCTTACAACTGTCATGAGTGTGGCAAGGCCTTCAGCCACAGCTCATCCTTGACCAAGCACCAGCGAATCCACACTGGTGAGAAGCCATATGAATGTCATCAGTGTGGAAAAGCCTTCACCCAGATCACGCCACTGATTCAGCATCAAAGGACACACACGGGAGAAAAGCCCTATGAGTGCAATGACTGTGGAAAAGCCTTCAGCCAGAGCACACTCCTCACTGAGCATCGTAGGATTCACACAGGGGAGAAGCCTTATGGGTGCAATGAGTGTGGAAAAACCTTCAGCCACAGCTCATCACTCAGCCAGCATGAGCGGACACACACAGGAGAGAAGCCCTACGAGTGTAGTCAGTGTGGTAAGGCCTTCCGGCAGAGCACACACCTCAGTCAGCATCAGAGAATCCACACAGGGGAGAAACCCTATGAGTGTAGTGACTGTGGCAGAGCCTTCACCCACAGCTCATCCCTAACCAAACACCAACGAATCCACACTGGGGAGAAGCCCTATGAATGTAATGAATGTGGCAGGGCCTTTAGCCAGCTTGCTCCTCTCATTCAGCATCAGCGGATCCACACAGGAGAGAAGCCCTATGAGTGTAATGAGTGTGACAGAGCCTTCAGCCAGAGCTCCCTCCTCATCGAACACCAGAGGATCCACACCAAAGAAAAGCCCTATGCATGCAATGAGTGTGGGAAGTCCTTCAGTCACAGCTCATCCCTCAGCCAGCATGAGAGGACACACACTGGGGAAAAGCCATATGACTGTCCAGATTGTGGGAAATCCTTTAGGCAGAGCACACATCTCACTCAGCACCGGAGGATCCACACAGGAGAAAGGCCTTATGAGTGCAGGGACTGTGGGAAGGCCTTCACACACAGCTCCTCCCTGACCAAGCACCAGAGAACTCATACTGGGTGGAGACACTCTACATGAGCTGGGTCATAGGAAGCCTTAAGCCATAGTTCATCCCTTCCTACACATGACCCCAGTCATACTTGTGAGATGACATTTATACACATGCCTTTACACACAGTACACTCCTCAGATCATGCTAACAGAGAAATGTGGGGATGATCAATGTTGAGGACCTTTAACCATGAGTACCCACTAACATTACAGAACCCACAGAAGAGAGAAGTGGGAAAATGTAGTGGATATGGGCATGACTTCTAAGGATTCACCAGATTCCAAACTTGAAATTTTCAAAATGGTCAGAAATCCAACTAATGCCTTTCATATAAAAGAACCAAGTGTAGTGAGACTTTTTATCACTTTTGCACATTTACATTCCTGAGTAGGGAGACGTGCTCATGAATGTTGTAAATTAATGCTGATACTCCCTAAAAATGATGTGGCAAAGTGTTCTATACATGCAAGTGGCACCTGTATGGAATCACCTTGCATACGCAATTGTCTCAGTACTAAGTTTTCTGATCTGTGTGTAAATTGTTTGATTAAGGTACATGGCAACCAATATCACAAATATGGATCCTACATGACAAAGTATCAGTATACTATTAACAGATTTTAAATTAGTTATCTGCATTACTTTGCAATAAATTAATCCTTATATGTAACGGAATTGAAAACATGGTTATAGGAAGTCTTGAAATGTAACTTCCAAGGAGCTTTATGGATTCTGGGATGGCTTTTGCTGCTCTATTCTAGCTATAAATTTCTTTACAGGACTCACAGGCATTAGAAAGACAGGTGCCATTGAACAAAAGAAAGATGGTGCCATTGCATAAAAAGAGCAAAATTAAGTAATAGAACTTCCATTTTGGAACCTATTGAGCTCAGCTGCATTTAACAGGAGGGGTGGGGGTGGGGGTGTACACCTAGTGGGTGAGCACTAATGGGTCTTTGCTGGGTGCCAGGGCCTTCCTGGCCTTGTAGTCCAACCTGGCCATGACTAAGGAGCTGAGATAGCTTTCTCTCCCTATAAATCTCTGAGGCTTCCTTTGCTGACATGCTGACATCTAGAAAGGCAGTGGTGGACCTCTGAGCAGAGTCCAGGAAGCCCGGGTTTGAGAATTCCAGCAGGTATAGGGAATCATGATTACACTAACCTTATCCACCAGGTGTCAAACTTGGACACCTAATACCTCCTACTATTCCCCAAAGGTTCCTTGGTATGGGTGGCCTTTCCACGGAAAACACGCTAGACAGCCACGGAAAACCACCTCACCTGGGAGCAAAGCGTTTTGGGAGTTGTAGTCCAGGCTCCCCCCATGGTCTAGTCGGCTCTTAGAGGGCTTATTTCTGATTCTATTTCCAAGACGCTACCTTTGGGCAAGCGTTCCGACCTCCAGAGGAGCGCTATAGGCGACTCCCTGGAGTCCGAGAAATGTAGGTTTTGAGAATTCGTAAAGTTAGAGGGAATCATGAGTAAACTAACCTTGTCCACCAGCTGGCGCATGCGGACACCGAGCCTGGTACTTCACCGAGACGTGGGGAACAGTGGGCGGCCCCACAATTCTTCGCTGCACAGGACTTCGGGGAGCGGTGTGGAGTCTCCCCAGCCACGCACAGCCCGCACTTGGACGACTTTGTCTATAATGTCCGTAGGTAACGTCAGAGCCGGCATCCCGCCCTCTGCACGGGCGCGGTCGACGGCTCCGCAGAGTCGGTGAAACCGGGGTTTGAGAATTCCAGGAGTTACAGGAAATAATGTTCACGTCAACTGTGTCCACCTGGTGCGGGTCTCTGACACCTAGAGCCTCGTAGTACTTCTCCCAGAAGGTTCCCCGGTACCGTTGGATCTCCCGACAGTGGGACGCAGCGGTCGGCTCCAGAAAATTGGCGTCAGGTAGGAAAGACGCCTCCTGGAAGTTGTAGTCAATTGTGACGGGCTGGCCGCATACTCACAGAGCTGCGAACTACAATTCCCAGAAGGAAATGCGGCAGCGCGCTGGGGGGGGGCGGGGGAGCGTTCGGTCTTCAGCGCGGATTTCAAACGTTTCACAAATACACCGTCCTGGGCGAATGAACAAAAATGTCGCGACGTGCTTTCTATGAACGACAGAGGTGCACTCACCTGTGAAGTCACTGTGCGGGAGGGTCTGTATATTGGGAGGGTAGGGATGTGTGGCCCTGACGGCCCAGTCCCGTCCTTTTTCTGCTCCTGGAATGAAACCCGGGGAGCAAACGAACCTCTCCGTTCCTGTCAGTATCCGCACTTTTTTGTCCCCTCCTTTTTTATGTCACTGTTTATTGTCCACGCTTCTGCAACTACCATAAAGAACGTCCTGCTGCTGGCGGGTGGCGACTATTTAAGAGGGGAACCTAAGAACAGGCACCAGGAATCAAACTTAGGTCACGAATATTCCGACCTCCGACCCAAGGGGGAGGCCGCGCGCGGACCGCACGCACGGCGCTCTGGGAGTTGTAGTTCAGTGCCCGGCGGCGCAAACGCAGAGCTGGCCGAGGGTGGTGGTCGCCTTAGCCCTGGTCTCGACCAGAGTGCGGAGTGGGTGGCTCCGGTGGGAACGTGAGGCCGAACTCGGCAGGGTCCGGAGCAGAGGTCGGATCCCCGCTAACAGCCTTGGTCGTGGCCCTGGGCGTGGCGAGCACAGAAACCTTCGGAGACGCGCGCGGCCTTCTGGATGATGTAGTTCGCGTCCCGACTGCTGGTGCCGCGGCTCTCGAGCCGCCCTCTAACGGCGAGTGGTCCGGCCCGGGCGGCTCAGACCCGCGACTCCGCGAGGTCGACGGCGGATTCCGGGGGTGCCTGCCGCGGTTCCAGAGTCCGGGCGAGGCCGAGGGCGGGGCG